GATTACCGGCCGCGGGACGAAACGGTGTGAACCAGCGGACTGCAGAGCGAGCCGCGTGCGCGTTGATCCTTGACAGTCGGTAATTTTCGCGCTGGCGTTGTCGTCCCATCCCTTTGTCTTCTGCGTCAATCGGCGCCGCCGAGTCGCAATCTCCGTCGGCCGTCGGGGCGAAATCGTTGCCCGCGCGATCGTACTGCAGCCGGTCGCCAGAGGGTCTCGTGCGTCGTCGACGATGATCGAGCGCACACCAACCGCAAACGGCGCAAACTAGCCACTTCGTGTATGGTCAGTAAACGTGTAGGGTCGACCTCCCCCCTTATTTTCCATTGACGTTTTCGACACTTTCCGGCCCGTGTAACATTTTTCGACGGTTATAATAATATTATTCCTAGTCMGGAATTCCGGATCCGGATCTTCGGGGTCTCTTATAACGGCGTCATCAATAATAGGGATCCACTCTCTACCAGTTTTTGCCGTTTTACCAATAAACTAAAAAAAAATGAATTAAAATCATAAACTAAATGAAAATAAAATGTTGAAAGGTCAACATTTTCAACAAAATAAACTCTATAAAATAGGGATCTTTATTTTTTCAACATTAAACAGTAATTTTTTTTAACTTTTTTACCTAAGAATTTCTAATTAAAAAATAAAATACATATGTATCCCTTGTCTATGCGAGTCTAATAAAAAAGATTTATGATATAAATATTACCTCCTCAGGAGATATCGCAACTGGTAAATCTTTGTGGGATACCCTGTATTTTACTTTGAAAAAAACTTGTACCAAAATAGTACATAAAATTTTGATAATTTGGAACTTAAGAACCATTGCTAAAACGCCTAAATCCAAGTGTTTCTTGAAATTGTTATCGTTTAATCCAGAGGCGTCAAATAAGATTAAAACTGRCAGATCAAATATCTTGATTGGCCCCATCAGATTTCTGTGTAATGGGCTTAAATTATTATACATAAATTATTTTATGAACTTCTTGTTAATATTTTACCTAGTAACCCAACCTATTTTTAAGGCAGTTCAATTGAACTATCTGATGTACATGTTGAATCCAAACAAATTGGTATGATAATACTATGAGCCTATTCAATTTAATCATGCTAAAATTGCTTAAATAAATAATTAGGTAAATATTAAATAAAATATAAAAAAGTCTTACATTATATTGTAACAATATTTAATCTGTATATTGCTATACGCGATACGCCACACTTCATTTATTTATACAATGTGCTAATCTTAAACATATATTTTACTAGTATAATGATACACAATATTATGTCACTGTCTTAAACAAATACAATATAAATATTTATTATAATTCATTTAAGTCATTTTTAAGTTATAATGAGATAAATTATTTTTATTATATGAATACTTTTAAACAACATAATTATTATTTAAGCTGAAAACTGAAAAAAAAAAACAACCTTATAGTACAAAATACTTAATTGTCCCATAACTATTTAAAATGTAAATAGTATTTTTCATCACATGTTCAAAATATTGATACTATGTGATTAATAACAATACATTTAAAATATTGTTTTTTGTCTGAATAGAATTGTATTGCAATATGCAAAATTAAATTAATTTAAAAATAACAAAATCGATACAACATATAATATTAAATCGTTTTCCAAAAATAAAAAACAATAAAATTTATAATATTCTCAATCCTGTACTAAAAAATTACCATGGTATACATTTTTTTTTTTTTTTTTTGGTTTTAAACAAGATGTAACTTGAATTTTACAAATATTGTAGGTAGTTACAATTAAAAACTAATATTGGATGCAAAATTGTATATAATAAATATTTATAGATAACTAAAAAAATAGCAAATTATTGTTACAACTTGAACATGTTTGCAGAAGAAATTATTTGTACAATTTATCTGTAGTACAACCATAAATCTGATCATTGGTCAAATGTTGAGTCTTTTCCATAAACACATTAACTTCATGGTTGTATACCTCTTCGAATGTTTGTCCATCAAGTACAGTGAATAATGATATACATTTATGTAATACTTTTTGAGCCTTGCATCGAATTTGGTTTGCTTTATCAAAATGTTCAATAGTTTCTTGTTTGCTTAAGGACCAGTTATTTACATCACCTACATACTTTGTTACTTTTGTAATTTTATCAACRATACATCTATGTTTTATTAACATAAGAGCATTAAATTGTAATTCACTGATCTGTTCCAATGACTTCAATGCCATTTCATAACTTAATTTGCTATAGTTAATTGATAAAGCTGAACTTAATTTATAAACACAATCAAGCAAATTTACTTCTGTCAGTAGTAAATTAACTTGATGTGCTTTACTTGATTCCATTTTTTTCCACTCAACTTCTACATTTGGTARAGAACCCATGACATTTTTGATAAGATTATTTGGTGGATTTCTCCGGTGACAATTGCTGTTTTGTACACTTATTTCTTTAGATACGCTATCAAGCGAACATGGTATTGATACGGGTATAGATATTACATTACTTTTCAAATTCTTCATTGCTTTTGTACTTGGATCTGAAATTATGAAAATAAAAAATAAAGCATTTTTTTATGATGAAAAAGTGCAGACAACATATTTTACCTGAATGACAATAAAAAAAAGATAATATTAGTCTTAGTATTTTTAATTTTACTGTATAAGTTCATCAATGCAAAATAATGCTATATTGTGTTATAAATAATAAATCAAGATTAAAGGGTGCATAAAAAAACAGTGTAGTTTTGAATATTAGTACTTTTGTTTGGTCCACGGAAGTTAAACTTTTTTCAATAGTGAAGAAGCTCGCTTTCATCTCAGTGGAATGGTAATGAAGTAAATTTTCAGGTACTGGGTGGAAAATGACCCAAAGCAATTTCACAAGAGAACTCATCACTCTCCAAAAGTAGTAATGCAGTGTGTGATTTCAAAAATTAGTGTGATTTTGGGAGTTATATATTWGAGAACGGGCAAACCATGATTGACAACACCAATGTTATATTTCCTCATTTTGGAGAATTTTTAGTACACTAAGATCTAAGAAGTAATGGTACATAATTTATAATTTTAATGTTGAGGAAAAGAAAATCCATTTTTTACCCATAGGAAAATTAATTTCTATAAAGGTAGATATTATATTCTAGCTTAGGTGGTACTTTTAGTTAACATAAGCAAATTGTTATACATACACAATACACAAAAAAATCAATGTTTTACCTCTGGTTTTGACATTTTGTTTTGAAAAATCAGCAGTTTCATTATTGTCAGGATTAAGAGTTTTCAAACTTTTGGAATCTGCTTTCTTAAACTTCAATTTTTTTGGAACTTTGGTGACAATATCATGGTCAGACAGTCTGTTTAACTTGATTTTACGACCAAAGCGTGATATACGTCCTATATCTGACTGAATACTATCATTCATTTTTATTGGTTCTGCAATTGCACAGTTATCTAATGTGGTGTCACTGGTTTCAAGTACAGATTTAGTAGTATTATTATTAAGTGTTTCAATAATTTGTTCATTGGCAGCAGCAACATTTTTATCAGCAGTTTTAAATTTCTGTAAATTATAATATATTAACAGTTATTATTAAATTAATATTTTCAAATTACAACTAAAACATACACAGGTACTAAAATAATACTCCGAATAATACTATACCCTTAAATAAAAAAAATAAAAAAATAATGCTTAAGTTTAATATTATCCAAAGTACCTATACTAATGTTATGACCTCTACTTTTTCAATGCAAATATARTAATATGATATAGTATTAAAAAACRACCAAGTTTTAGATGGTAAGCATTCAGAAAATTACATAGATAATCAAACCAATGAATTTGAGAATAAAGTAAATAAATTAGTTAATATGTTATAAATATTATAGTTGAAAAAAATGTATATGAAGTAMCTACCTAGATAAATCAATAAATAAAATACATTCATTGCTCCCCTTAGAATCTAAAATGTAGATATAAACAATTTGTTTCATTATCTTAAGAAAAGTTATTTTTGTGTTAGATGTTGATAGTGTGAAGGATAAATTATAGAGTATTATAAAGTAGGCATGTTGTTAAATAACCAAATTTCTATAGAAAAGTAAATATTATAATAAATAATATATATATATAATATAATATAATATATATATATATATTTATACATAAATGTATGTATAATAAAATATATGGTATTATTATAGTATATAACATTTAATGTTGTTAAAAAAACTGTAGGTAGCGGAAGGTAGGTACTTATCTGAGTAACATGAAAGTTTTTAAACTATGTAGAATGTAGGTACAAAAAAAAGAATTGTGTTAAAGTAAATAATGTCATCATAATATGTATTTGATACCTATAGAATAAATATATTGATGTATTACTATCAATTTTTAAAATGTACTTATGGTACTAATTATTGTCAAAAAAAACAATACGGTTGTGTATTTATACAACACTTTGGTATGAAATAGTATCTCCGTATTAATTTCTGTATACATTTAATTAATAATTATTAATAAAATACTCCCAAAGTTAAATAAAAAATATTATGACTTGTTTTTGCGATGTAAACTATTATTCTTACATTAATTTTAAGTTAGTAGGTAATGGTTTTAAATTTTTTTTTGATTAGATATTTAGATATTGTCTTGGATATTTTACTCAATATTGTAGGTAGGCATAAATATTTGAGGTTGTATGCAAGTTTATTTTTAGATATTTAAAATGTTTCTTTTATATACAATAATACACTATATAGATAAACACTAGTGGTCATTAATTATAAGTCAAATTGAAATAGGTAAGTACTAACAATGCACATTTTCAGAGAAATTTCTTAAGAAATATGTTTTATTAAAATAAATACTTTGTTCTACTCTTTTTCTAAAATTTGAATGCATCTGATGTAAATTTAAGTACATATTCATTACAGCTTTTATGTTAAAATTCATAATTAAATATTACCACTTGAATGATTTTAATGAATACATGATTAGGCGTAGGTAGATAATATTTAGGTATTTGGTTTYATTAAAGATATATTAATCCTTTACCAGATGAAACAAAATGGTTTCATATTCTTGTTACTTATGTACCTACAAAAATAACTTGGACTTAATTAGTTTGTAATCCATAATTGCCTGATTATTTTGAGAGATTTGTTCCTCACCCTATTTTAACATAAATTAATTAATAGATAATCATATTTATGATAATTTAATAATCATTATGAATTATGATCAACAAGGGTATCATTCACAAACACCTAACAATGTTATCAGAATGTCAGAAATGCTTAGCTGAAGCACCTACCATTGGACTATTTTTATTATTCTAAATTACTTAAATATCAGTTAAAAGATATAACTAAATGTATTAATTGTAGACTGTACTAATACAGAATGGATTAAATTTATTTTTACTCAGAAGTTGTTCATAATTACAACCTCAGAAGCATTATTGTCAAAATAGCATCCATTATAAAAAAACACAGAACTTGCCACYGTAAATAGCACAAAATGAAACTATTTTTGAAATTTTAAAGAACTGATTATAAAAAGAAACTTAACAGATACCTATGACAAATAATTAACCTTATAATTCATAACAGAAAACTAATAATCATTATTTAAGTATAGAAGTGCCCTCGGAAATACCTATCATGTACCTAGTATTAGGCTAGACTGAGAGCTTGAAACAGGAGAACAAAAAATTAATTTTGGCCACAACGGCCAATGGGCCGATAATGGTTCCCACTAGCCATTATAATTACTAGTTTTGAACATTTTACTTAAGCGCTGCCATTACATTATTTTACATCTATTATAAAAATAAAGGTAGCCCGATGATATGAAAATAAAAATAAAATAACACATATTATATTATAAGCAATTTGATATTTCTACAAAATATAAGAGTTTATAATTTAGATAGGTAGGTACCAATATCCAAAAAAATGTTGCTTGGTTYGTGAAGGGTTTATTCAATGCACACTTCTATGGTAAGTATATAGACCTTATGTCTAGAAATGAAAATACAATTATCTAATTAGATATGCAACAAAAATAAATCTACCCAAATATTTATATAATATGYCCGATAATATGTATAATATCCTATTGAATAATTATTAAGATAATTTTTAAAATTATATTTAACAACGCTGTCTTTTCCTATCTAGTTCATCTTAAAAATAAATATAATGTAACTAACCTGTTTTTCACTCAATTTTTTTTCTAAATAAGCACTCTTTAATGGTTCTAACAATACTATAGGTTGAACATCTATAGGGTTGAAACTTTTTGATGTTTTTAGCTTCTTCAGTACTTCTTCGTGTGTGGCATCAGTTAGTTTTCTTTTTAAATCTGTAGAATTGGATATCCTTTTTCTTAAAGAAACAACTCTTATACCTTTGGATACACTTGGGTCATTAAATGACTTTACTTCCTCATTTTTTTCACTTGTGGGATTTAATTCACTTTGATTTTTGATTTTATCCAAATTTTTGGATTTATCTTCTAAAGATAATTCTTGATTAACGTTTGTTGTTGAAATTGGTGGCACAAATACTCCAACATTTTTGTCAGAGATAAAATCACTTTTGGAATCATTTTCTATTTGTATGAGAGCTTCAACCAATTGTTTTAATTTCTTTTGTTTTCTTCGGGGCTTACCTAGCTTATACTTGTTTTCTTCGTAAAGACATAGTAATTCTGGTTTACATTCTCCGTAGTTACCAGTTCCATAAAAATATACAGTATAAACTAGTTCCGATTCAGGGTTAGCTTTAATACCAATTATTAAGGCAGGCCAAGCAGGATATCCTCGTCGTTTTACAAAGACCTTGTCTTTGACAGCAAATGGTTTTTTTGAAGACATTGATGATTGAACCTAGATAAAAGGAATACAAATTAATAAATTAGTTGATTCAGTTCTAAGCTTAAACAATGTACCTTGGTAGCCATTCAACATTTAGATAGGACGACTTTGAGCGTCAACTCCATGTCAAAAAATTWATTAGCTTACCTAAATRGCTAAATAGATACCAGAGTACTTAAATAATATGTTGTAGCAGTATCTGGTTAAATAAAATAAGTATTATCATAGGTAAACTTGTTCATATAATGTATAATTTACAGTGAAAACTATATATAACGGACACAATTGGTTGCTGAAATTGTATACGCTATTCAGAGGGTTAAGTTTGTGCAAAGAGTGAAATTGTGGGTAAGTGTATGTTATTTGAAAGTGTCCAAGGGAGGTTTCACTGCATATTATATTAGAACATTATCAGATAATATATCATCCAGTAAAGACCGAGAGCCTTACAACCTACATCGATCAGGACCGCGTCTGTAATACATTGTGTGGATTAGGTTACTTACTTAGTGGTTTGGGTGTACGCGATCGTTCGCAAAAAACGTCTTATAAAATCGAGGAGACGAACGGCCAAAAAAACAAGTAAATCGGTAAGGACTTTGGCCTAACCGACAAATCGTTGGCACACTAACACGCGGCGACGAATGTCGAATGACTACACAGCACACTAATGTCTAATACACTATCTTCGTAGCTTCGCAAAATAGCGAATATCGATGGGTGTACACTGTACGAGACTACGTCGTGATCGGAGGGYAATCRATTGCGAGAACCGGTTGACGAAAAGACATTAAACGGAGTCCAAAAATAAAAACAAATTGTAGTAATTGTACAAAATTAATAATATTACGATGAGAATAAGAATAACAGGTAAATGAAGAAAACGACATCAAACAGATAATAATAATAATAACAACAACAAAAGCGATGTCGACTGGATAGGACAGGTCGCGCGTCGGGTGGACCGGATGGACTGTGACCACTGAGGCACTGACCAACGAGACCCTAAACGGTTTCGCCGACTGCCGTCCGGTCTAATTTTATCCGCAATGCCAAAATAGTAATTCGTAATTTATAAAAACAAACAATCAAAATAGTACAACGGTCGCGGGCCACGGTGATGCCTCAGTGTTGCCACATCACGGATAATCATCCGGAAAGGGGAAGTGGCACCACGCAGTCGTAGTAGACCACCACCACCAGCTTGCTGCTGACCACGATTTAAGATATATCTTAAATCGTGCTGCTGACCACGTGCGTCTTGAAAGCCTTACAACGTTACAAGGTTACAACTGGCAACTGCAGTCTGCAGCCAATAGCCATTACTACGTCTTGTGCAAAGCGCGTGAATATCAGTTCTCGCGAGTCGGCAGAATTGCAGAATTGAGTTCAGCGGTTCCCAAATTGTGCACCGTGATGCACTTGGTGCACGGTGAACACATTCTATGGACACCGCGGTCTATACGGCTCATGATAAATAGTATTAAAAATGTATAGAATTCTTTTTTTCGAAAATTCGTTATTAATGAGTATTTTGTTGTCCTTTATTATACAGTAAAATCTCGCAACATTTCTATGGACTTGCGTCCCGCATCGCTTAGTTCACGGTCAACTATAGAGTGGTGGCGGCAGGGGGGGGTGGCTAGGCGGATCACGCCCCCCCCTTAAATTGGTCTTGGCCCGCCTTGACCACCCAACCAGAAGAGAAAAAAAATTTTCATTAAAAGAACAGATTATAAAATTGAAATTCTATACTTCTCTATGACTATATGGCAACATTTTTTTTTTTGACCGAATAAAATATGAATAATTATGATAATGGTCCTCACAATATTTACAAAATTTTGTAATTAAATCGAATAATTGTAGTTATAAATTATTATTATTATTATTATAAGACCGTACGAGCTAAGGCAAATAAACATTGTGTATTTTTTTAAATTTAAATTTAAATGTATTAACTCATAAACAAATGTAATTTGTGCATTATATTATAAT